GGCGATACATTTTATATATAAAAATGAACTCGTAGGACAATACCAAAATAATGACAAACCGAGCGTAAATAAAGTTATATATATTGTCGAAACACTTTCAATATCTATTCAAGGATTTTAGGGAGCTAACATATAATTAAGCAACAAAATCCAAATAAAACTTATCTTTTGGCCATCTATATAAACATTTATTATAGATAAAATTATGAGGGAAGCGTTTTTCTCTTATTAAAATTTAGTTTAAATCCAATTAGGATTTGTTTAGAATTTGATTTCCACGCGCTAGAAAAATTAGTGAGTAAAATGTATAGTAAATGATTTTTAATTTTCGTAAATATAGAAATACTTTGTATGTTTATCATAATTCTTTAAAGCGTTATCAACACTTTTAATATAATGCGAGTATTTTAGATGGCCAGTACAGAAACGACAAGTAAATCCAAATAAGATTCAACTTCTACCTATGTGTACAGTTATTTACGATAACTTAAATCATAAAAAAAAATGTCGTTCTCTTATTTAAAATTGATTTGAGCTTGATTAAGACTCTTTTGAGAATATAATTTGACTGAAATCTTATCTTCATAATTGAGTTAAGTTGGTGATAGTGGCAAATATTAATTGATTTTGTTTAATAACTATAAACACTATCTAATATATTTATTCTTACAATGTGGAGTCAGCATAAAAGAGTTCGTAGAGTGTAGATAGCTAAAAGTGTATTTTTTTTACTATACATGCACTTATTTGAGGTATCATGATTATCAAAATATGTCTTTATGATCTAAATTTAATTAAAACTTTACCGAGATTCTAATATATTTATAATCGTATCTTTATAAATTTGTTTAAATAATAAAACTATTATAGTAACACTAACAAAACAAAATTACATAGATTATTAGATATTTTCGATGCTTATTAATGCGCTTAAGAGAGCTGATATAGAAATATAACATAACCCAAATACAACTCTACTTTTAACTACGTGTATACTTATTTGCAATAGTTAGTTATAAAATTATTATTTTTATTAAATCTAAATATACTCATTTACTTAAAAATTGGGTTGAGTCCAATTAGGACTTCTTTGAGAATCTAATCTGACGGAGATCTTATCTTCAAACGTCAAACAAGTTGGTGAGCAAACAAATAGTAATGGATTCTTATTTTGTTACTGCGAAAACTATCTAATAGATATATTTTGATATTTTAGAGAGTCAATATAAAAAAGATAGTAAAGTTCAAGTAGTTAAAGAATTTGTTTTTGGCTACGTGTGTACTCAGTTACAATAAATCAGGACTAATAAATATATGTAGTTACCAATAAAAATATTTTATCCTGTAAAATATATAAGGAAAAAAATAATTAAAAAAGATTCGTATTCTATTAAAATTTTTAATAAATATAAAATAACAAAGAAGGTTTTGTTATTATTTTTTAAAAAACAATAAAGCTCAATTATATTATACTTAAATCTCATAAGCCCTCGTCCAAATTTTTTATTTTTTTGTAATTATAATTAAAAGTATAGCTGAAAATAAATTAAAAATATATAAATTATTATTTTAAATATAAATAATAAAAATACTAATATTTAAAATAAAAAAAGATTAAATTCATAAGAATTCCATACGAAATTGAAACAATATATTTAATCAATTGTAATCGAATTTATGCTAATTGTATATTTACAAATAAATTTCATGTTATTTATAAATTCTATTAATTTATTTTACCTAATATAATAATAAATAAATATATATATATTATATAATAGTACAAAAATAATAATTTTTATTAAAAAAAATTAATATTTTTTTTTCAAAACTGTTTTTTAATTTTGCTATGCAATACTCCAGCGTTGTGGCGAGTTATTGATGAGTTGCGTACGAACAAGCTGTCAAAGCCCACTTGCCATACCAACACGTGGCACCAGACCCACCTGGCTGCCTCTCCCAGCTAACATCAACTTAATGCATGCTCCCCGCCACATCAGCATTATATTCTACTGTGGGGGTCCACTTCAAAAAGCGAGGGAAAAAGTTCGTATCATGACATCTCTGCCGTTGATCTTCCATCCAATGGTCACCGGACACGTGTAGGTGAAACAGAAACCATCACCGATAGTTTTCTTTTTTTTTTCCTTCTCAGGGAGAGGCAATGTTACAGAAGAATCTAATCTCTAGTGGCTGTCCTTTGCTGAGTTCAGGAGCATATCCTCCTTGGTGACTGACACGTGTCAACTTCTCAGACAAGATAATGCTGGACCATATCTTTTTCTCTTATCCAATCAGTCTCCTTGATTTTTTTCTCTTCATGTGTTTCTCGTTTTTCCCAATTAAACCCCTATATTTTCTGGTTATTACAAAAAGTGCCCACATTGACTTTTTTTTTTTTCAATTGCATACAGGACCCTGTGATTATTTGTTAACAAGGTGAAATGGCAACAGGCTACCGGATTGTGGGTAGAAGGTTAAAAAGAAGTGGCGTGGACGTGCAACGGTTATTTGCTTCTCTTTTGTTTTCAGTTTCTTTAGTTATTAGTGAAGGACAGTTATAGCTTGGGGAACCGGCTAATCTCAATGCTTCCATAATTATTGCTAATCACGGATTTAATTAATTAAACTCTAATTTTTGTTATGTTTAATCTAACTCCAAATATTTAATATATAATCATAATTTAGACACAATATTAGGTACTGAATAATACATTAATGTTATTTTATTTTTGTAGATAATTCAAATTATCTATCAGAAAATCTCAAATTTTACAGCATATTGCATGCATTTGATTCATTATTATCAAATCTCTTCACGACATTAATAATTTTTTAGAGAATTTTAATGATAATCATACGCGTCGTTCATGCATGCATATTTATATATAGATATTTATGTTTCAACTATTGATTTTGGTATTATGTTTGTAATTTAAGGATAATTAAAAAAAAATTAAAATGCTATATGATGGATGTAGGTTCGCATAAGTTATTATGTCTACGGGAATGATAAAAGTGGCAAAAAAAATCACGCGTTTCAAAGCTATTAACAGAGATTTGAAAACTGAACCCTCGTAAGGTCATGAGTGCGACAAAAATTATCTTGAGAACGGTAGTATATTCATTTAAACAAAATATGCGAGGAAATAACACAAACTCTGTATAAATTTTAGTCTAGTAAGTGGAACCAAATCTTGGATCGTGTTTAAAAGTTTATTGTTTAATGTACTAGGAGCTACAGGAACAAATGTACGAAGGTGAGAAAAAAAAATAAAAAAGGTAACAAATGCATCACGTGTAATACCTGGAATTAATTTTAAAAATTTAAAATTAACGTATAAAATATAATTTTTAAATTTATGAATTTTTATTTACTATAAAAATTAGAAAAAAATAGGTAGATGATGAAATTAAAAATAATTTTAAAAAAAATGGATGAAAATTTAGATTTTGAAAGTATTTTTGAAAGAAA